CTGCTAGGCAAACCCAGCACTGCTGGATGGCAGCTCTTTCATGCCTAGTGCTGGGACCATGGAGAGTCCCCAAGCTGGCTGTGCAGTGGCTTAGACAGCCAATCTTCTGGAGAGGGTGTCTGGACAGACACTGCCTTGCAGTCTGGTTCTTGTTCACCCCAAGCACTCATTCTCCTCCAGGGAGAGTAACTAAGCTGGAAGTATAGCCTCTGTGCTGAAGCTGCCTTTTCTTCAAGACATTACTTTCTGTCCTTGATGACACCTCATGAGGATTAAGTGTCTACCCTGAAGGATAGTACTGGTATCATTAGCAACAAAACAGGCCCACAGGGTATTTTTAAGAAAACTGTCATCATGAGCACTGTGAACAGGACTCGCCTGGCTCCAGCTGATTGCCTACCCTAGCTTTTTCATTTCTTCGTTTCCACGGCCCTGGCAGACTGCCCCCCTGGGGTGGGAGAGCCTCCCTCTGCATCACACATGCAATCTGGCTGGTGCCCCCTGCAGAGCACTTTGTCTCACGCCCATCTTGACCTACCTCTTGTGTGTTCCTGCCCAGTCTCCCTTTGAGGGCCACACTGCTCCGTGTTGGGCGGGCCTGAGCACCCTGCACTGCAGACAAGTCATGCCCAAGCATTTACATCTCAGTGTGTAGACACATGTAGGATACACCTGCCCTTTTCTTTTGCCTTTATATTAGTTAGCTCATGACACTGATTTTTAAAGCCACATGTGCAGTGGATTATATTATATGAATTTCATTTCACAAAAGTAGAAAGATTGCTATGTGTATGTTAAGTTGGCACTGAGGGGGAAAGCTGGTAATCGTTCACTTCAGTAAACTACTCAGCGTTTATGCTGTTTCTAAATTTCTACTTTCTATGAGGTAGACAGTCTGTGAGGGATAATTTAAGTTTTATACTTGACTCGATGTTTGGGATTGATCTCACTTTTATTTTATTTATTTATTTATTTATTTATTTATTTATTTATTTTGGCGGGACCGGGGATTGAACTCAGGCCCTTGCGCTTGCCAGGGAAGCTCTTATTCCACTGAGCCATCTCCCTGGCCCCCTTGGTCTCACTTTTAATTCTTCTACATTGTACTCATCCTTTGTTTTCAACTCGCTGCTGAACCTAAGGTAAGGCTGAGGCCCCAAAGGACAGTGGGGCTCCGTGGGCCCAGTGGGGTGCCATGCACTCAGACCTGCTATTGTGGTGTGAGCCTCTGCCATTCAGGCCAAGTCTCCACAGCGGGAGGATTCTCTCTACAAGGAAAATGCCTAGCTTTACGCCCAGCACATGGCAGGTTTACAGGAGGTCGCTGGTAGCATTGTCTGGAAGCCTGTCCTTCAGATGATCAGCTCTCGGGGGCAGCAGCAGTACCCTCACCCTCTGGAGCCCCTGAGAAAGGAGCCTCGCAGCAGCTGAGCCCTGGTCAGCGAGGAAGGAGTAGCCAGCACCTGGCTGGCCATGGCCGAGGCATTCATGCCTGTTACCAAGACCCCTGGGCACAGCAGACACTCCTTCCTTTCTGTCTCTGCTTGGAGTGAGGTACAGTGTGAACTCCTGCAGTGTCTCCAGGACCTGGCAGCCTAGCTGTGGGGTTAGGATGCCAATTAAAAGTCCAGGGCTTGGGGCCAGGGAGATAGCTCAGTGGAATAAGTGCTTCCCTGGTAAGTGCAAGGGCCTGAGTTCAATCCCCGGTTCTGCAAATAAATAAATAAATAAAAAATAAAAATAAATACAGTTTAAAAAAAATAAAAGTCCAGGGCTAAGGGCAGGGAGATGGCTCAGTGGTCTAAATGCCTGCTTGGCATGCTCAAGGACTGGGGTTCAATCCATGTCGAGCTGGGCACCGAAACCAGGTATGGTGGTGCATGTCTGTAATCCCAGTGCTGCAGAGGCTGTGATAGGAGACTCACTACAAGTCTGAGCTGCGTAGTGAGACCTTGTATCAAATAAACACAGGGCTCCACTCAGTAGTAGGCACTTGGTTCCATCCTCGGCACCACAAAAAGTAGAAAATGAAAATAAAAGATTTAGAATGTAAAATACAGAAAATACAGCTGTTTCAAATGTCTAGACAAGAAAAACCAGTTTGCTTTGGATTTAGGCTGCCCTCATAGGGCTGTACCAGTGTGGCCCTTTGGCAAGGGGCAAGAAGTCTCAGAGCCTGCCTGCCTGGAATCTCTTTTCCATATCATTTTATCAATTTATTACTATTATTATTATTATTAACAGTGCTAGCGATTGAACCAAGGGCCTTTGCACTAAGCTACATCCCCAACCCCTTTTTATTTTGAGACACTTGCAACTTGCAATCTTCCTGCCTCAGCCGCCTGGGATTATAGGATTGCACACCCACATCGGCTTCAAGTCCCATTTTATGCCAACCAACAGAGTCTTCAAGGATAAAAAGCTTTAGGCAGGGTCTTGCGGGTAATGCCAGAAAAAGTGAATGTCCCACAGAGTGAGGACAGATGGGTCTCAGCCCACCATGCTACCTGCCGCCTGGCCAGGCCTAAATGACAGTTCTTGTTAATGTGATCCAGGCACTTGCTCCTGTCTGCTGTGTTTGATGGCTGCTTGATCTGCTCAAAGGCTTAACCTTTCTCCATCTCTTTCTGCACTCGACATGTGTCCAGAGGAGCTTTCAGAAGGTAACTGCTCATTTCTTTCCCAAGCACTCACAGAGCTGTGTGCAGGGTCTTTCAGTGCCATACAGTGAACACTTGACAAGGTGATTTTTAAGATGAATAGATATTTTAAGGGTCAAATCAATGATGAAATATTTGATTTCATGCAGCCAGGCTTGGTGGCACACACCTGTAATACCAGCACTTGGGAGGCTGAGGCAGGAGAAATCCCTGTTTGTTTGAGGCCAATCTAGGATATATAGTATGTTGAAGGCCAGTCTCAACTATACAGTGAGTCCCTGACTCAAAAAATCAAAAGACAGGGGCCTGCCCCTTAGCTCAGTTCTTTAAGTGGCTGCTTCAACAAAGCAGTCAGGCTCAGGTTGCTGCAGATCGATCCCCACAACTCCAGCCAGCCAAACCTGCCTTCAAGGCATTTGGAGCAAAAAAAAAAAAAAAAAGAAAGAAAGAAAGAAAAAGAAAAAAAGAAAGAAAGCTATGCTTATCAGATGAGGGAACTGATATTGCAGTGTTCTCTTTATATTTTAAAATGCATATTTTTAAAGGGTTGGGAAAAAGTGGTTTTAAAAAGGTATGTATCAGCTCATGCTATAAACCAGTGCTTCTTATATACTATTGCAGTGACAGAAACAATTGCATAACAAGGAACTTAAGCATGAAGTAATTTGAAAGTCACATTTTCACAATATTTTCTGGCATTTATAACACCAGATGCCCAGCTGAAGCAGACACAAGAGGCAGCACTAGTCTGGCTGCTAAGGTGCTTGCAGTTTCCTTCACCCTGTCCCACACATCCCTGGTCAGTCAGAAGCCACTGGCCACCACTGGGCAAGGGCCAGTTCTACCTTAGAATGAACCACTGTGTACAAAAGAAAACAAAACCAGATAGCTAGCAAAGAGATTTCTGTAGGATCTGCAAGTAAAAGCCAAAGCAACTTATTTCTTGCTTTTTAAAATCAGCTTTCTTAGGATATGTTGCAAAGGTGTATCCCATATTTGTATGTTTTCACTATGATTTGGTATCTTTCTTATAACATGGAACAAGCCAGAAGTAGGGTTCTGTTCTCAGTCTCACTAGACAAGAGACAGAACTGTGACACTCAGGCCCAGAAGAGTCTCCCAGAGCTCACATGTGAGGTCACTGGGTGACTGGGCCAAGAGGGACCTTACCCCACTCTGGCGGATGGGTTCTGCCACCCTGAAACCAGTTCAGCTAAAAAGCACTGATTCTCAGTAATCTTATCCTGGTCCTCACAAGTCTCTTCCTGACTTTCTCTGTTCCAGACAAGGAGTTTGTGGGCTACGGCCAGAAGTTCTTTCTTGGTAGGTGATGGCAGTGAGAGCGGGGTCCTGCACTGAGGCCCACGTCTGCTTGACGCTGTTTGCTGGCAAACCTCCCAGACTGCTCCTGGCCTGGTTCCCTGTCCACTTTCTTGTCAGGAGGCTGGCTGATGGATTATGCATCACTCTTCATCTAATTTCACTGGCATCTCCTCGATACTTGTCAAACATGAACCTTTCCTTTATCCCCCAGACTGTTCCCTGACCTGCTCATCTTGCTCCAAAGGAGCAATCTCAGAGCTATGTGTCTATAATTGTCACCCTGGCCAGGGCTTTCTGAAGAACCAGGCTTCTCATTTAGAACACTCTGGCTTTCTCCTTCACAAGGCAGGAGAGAAGCAGGGTGCAGGGTGGAAACTGGAAAGCTGACTCCTGGGCTGAGTGCATTTGGTGACCTTCACAGGGGCCACCTCTGTGTTCAGCAGTCACCCCCCACATACACACCTCTCTAGCGTTTGCAGCTTCTCATCTAATCCTACAGGGCCCCTCTGGTCCCAGCCACCTGTCAGCTCATTTCTTCCATATTCCCATTGTTGCCTACAGCCACCAGGCTCCCTTGCCCATCCTTGGTCAGCAGCATGGTCCTCCCTGTGCCCCTGGTGCTTCTGTCCCTTGGCCTGGCCTGCTGACCCCCCCAGACTTCCCCAGCTGCTCCCACTGTACCTGACCTGCCCGTCTAGAAAAGTACTGTCCCTGTCATTGACCCTCTCCCAGTCCTTCACTGGCAGAGGGGTTGCTCTTGTGTCTCCTGCTTTGTGAGTTGTAAATGCAGGAGAGGATGGATTTGGATTATCTGGTATTGCACCCTAGTACCTAGTGCAGGCCTGGCACATAGGGGATGCTGGGCCCAGAGAGAACACCTGGGTGTTTCTCCTTCACCACTCCTGTCTTTGGCCTCAGACAGACCAGGCTGCAAGGCAGCCCATGGAGGTCCAGGAGCCCCGCCAGGCCGCCTCCCACTGCCTCGGTCTCACTTTCTGTGGTTTTCTCCATGCCCAGCCGGCTTCCGCCGTAGCCTGCGCCTCTGTCGCAGAAAGTCCCACAGCGGGCAGCTGCGAGCCAGCCTCCGTGGCATGGGCACTGGTGGCTGCTGCATGGCTGTGGGGACTCTGTATGAGGAGGTGGCCAGGTACCAGCGCCATGCAGAGGACAGGCACCGCCTGGTTGTGCTTGTAGGTATGTCTGAGCTGTCCCTTACCTGGGAGTTCACCCTAAGCCAAGTCCCACGCTAGAGTAGCAGTAAAAATGGAATTCTTTAGGGACCTCCTTATCCACATCTTTTTAAAAACCCATTTCACTTATGTATTTATCAGTAATTTATTGTAGCAAGCAAGCAAGCTTTAAAAATATTTTAACCGATAATTGAATGTGGTATGCCATGGTGTGTATAAATGTGTGTAAGAAAAAAGTTACAATGGAGGGTTTTGTTTTTGCCTATTTAGAACTGGTTCTGTAAGCATAGATGCTGTAACCTCAAGATGGGGCCATTAATCCACATTAGAAAAAGAAATCCTTACAGTCCATATCCTTAAAAACCAGGCTTAGGGCACATACCTATGATCCCTGTCCATGGGAGGCTGAGGTAGGAGGATCACCACAAGTTTGAGGCTAGCCTGGGCTACATAGTGCGTTCAAGGCCAGTCTGAATTGCATAATGAAACCCTAGCCCTCAAACTAATGAAATATGCTTTAGCAAAAAGTTTACATCCTTTGTATTGTATCTTTGCTGCGAAAAATTCAGGCAAATGTTGAGCTGAATGACTTGCTTTCATGGCAATGATATCCGAAATGTTGTCCCAACAGTAGTGGAAACTTGTCTCTTGCTTCCAGCCCCTCATTCACAGTGAGCAGGGCAGCCCTGAGGGCAAAGACAATGTGCCCACAGGTAGGACTGGCTGCAGCACTGGCAGGGCCTGGTACAGAGTGGTAGCACAGGCCCTTTGTTTAGGACTCACACAGGACTGCAGGTGGAGCAGGCCGGCATGTGCCTACCTGGAACTTCCTATGCATGGCCCAGCAACTGCACATGAGGCCAGCTCTACCTCCAGGTGGAAAAGCAAGTGCCACCTCCACCACCACCACCTGTAGGAAACAGGGCCCTGGATTCTGAAAGTCACAGGTTCCATGGTCACCAAGGTCAACTTCTGGTTGGGATTCACAAGCAGCTTCATTTGGAATAGAAATGCAGGTGTCTTGGATCATCCAAATGAAGACGAGCAGGTTCTCTGCACACCCGCATTAGATCAGAGTGCTGCCTGTCAGGGCCTGCGATCCCTACCTCATTTCCCAGCAGTCAAGCAGAGTAGGTTACTCCCCAGGCCAGCAGGGAAGTTTGACAGAGTTTTGTGGGGTTGTTCCATAATTTCCCTAAAACATCGGCTCAAGTTTCTGCAACAGAACAAATAAAACAATTGCACCTCATATTGATCCACATCTAACAACTTCTGGATATGGCTTTTGTACTTAGGACCTTCTGGTGTTGGAGTCAATGAACTGAGAAGACAACTTATTGAATTTAATCCCAGCCGTTTTCAAAGCGCTGTGCCACGTATGTTCCATGTTTGTCTTTTAGAGCATTAGTAAAACTGTCCCTTCAAAGGGGTGATCTCGCTGAGCCATTCCATCTTTGTTGTAAAAGTATAGGGCACAAGGTATGTCCTGAAGTATTCCAACCATATTTATTTTAATAAAGAGAAATGATGTCAGCAAGGCCTTTTAAAGGTGACTTAGGTTTTCTCCACTTCTAACCATCATACAGACGACCTTTCAGGATCCCTAATATTCAGCAACAAGCCAACGCTTATTCAGCACTTAGGGTCTTCCTAGCACTGTGCTTGGCTCTTGACTTGGCTTAGGCTTTTATTTTCTAAAAATTTTAATATTTTCATACATAAATTTTAATATGATTTTACCATACACAGTGGTTTTCTTATTTCCTTTTACCCAGATTTCCTTTATTTCACCACTACCACCAACTCCTAAGATGTAATCTTTCAGACTTTTCTCTGTGATCACTTTGCTTCAAGTTGTCTGATTTTTAAGTTTCAAAACATTTAAGGGCAGGTGTGGTGGTATACAACTATAATCCCAGCACTAGAGTTCAAGGTGAAAGGCCACCCTGAACTACATAGCAAGACCCTGTCTCAAAAAACAAAAACAAATACAAACACACACACACACACACACACACACACACACCCCTGCAATTCTAAAAATGCAACATATCACTGTTTTATGGTATGAGTAATCCTTCCAAAAAATCTCTAAAAATCAGTCCAAGGAAACCTACTTCATTGTAAAAATAGAAAAAAAAAAACTTGAGATGAAACTTTTCAATTAGCAATATTTATGCTTTGGACAAACAGACAGACCAATGGAGGCAGAAGCAGAGGCAGAGAAACAGAGGGCTTTGTTGTACTAGAAAATAAGCTAGCACTACAACACAAAAGACAGAGTATGTGTCAGAGTTTTTAGAGCCTAAGGTAATACACAGAACCTTGTAGGTACACACTATGTGTTAACTGAATAGTAGATGAGCAGTAGTAAAAAAGTCACCTTTAAGGAGCTGGGGAGATGGCTCAGTATAATAAGAGCCTGCCTGGCAAGTGTAAGGGTCTGAGTTCAATCCCCAGTTCTGGAAAAAAAAAAAAAAGTCACTTTTAGAAATTTGACAAACTTCACAATTCTACCAGGTGCTACTTAAATCCAAGGTCTACAATGAAATTGAAATGGCCACATCAAAGAATTATGCAGATGGAGACCTGGCCAATCTTTCCCGCCTAATAATCTCCAAAATTGACCATCATCCCCACATGGGTTTAATGCATCTGGCAAGACTGCAGGTCATGAGCTTTCTCTACTTTAAATCTGAGACAATCAGGAGTAGTAGAAAAACCAGTCTAGCAAGAGGTAGAACGCCTGGGTTCTAGTTGCATCTTCAGGTTTTCATTGTCCGATGAACAAATCTGTCACTCTCCAAAAGCTTCAGCTGCTTATCTGTCCATAGAATGTGGATAACGACATTTCACTTAGCCAGGAGCGTGGAGAAGGCAGTGAGATGCCCAGAAAGGCAATGCACATTAAAGATAGCCCTGGTAGTCTATCTCGGAGCACAAGGCTTCCTGGCGCTCACACATAATCCATGAGCACCTGTTTTCGGGTAACAGCAGGTGTTCCTTAAGGGGCAACCTAATATGTTCTTTTCCACACCACTGATTTTTTTCAACACTTGTACTTTCTTAGCACCAATTTTGGATTTTCTTTTGGGGCCTAGCATTAACCTATCTGATCATGCTTTCTTTTATTTTTTTTATTGGACACTTTATATGAATACAGACTGGAAACAGACAAAAACGTTTTGAAGATTCTGAAATCTTTCCCCTTTTTAATAGATACCACTCGTTCCCCAAAGAGTTATGAGATGAATGGACGTGAGTATCATTACGTGTCAAAGGAAACATTTGAAAGTCTCATATATAGTCACAGGTAAGGTTCAAAGGATAATTCTTGCTACTGGTTGTTTGACATTCAAAACTGATCATTTTTATGCACTGTTCAAAGTTCCTGGGGGGGCCGGGGAGATGGCTCAGTGAAATAAGCACTTCCCTGGCAAGCGCAAGGGCCTGAGTTCAATCCCTGGTTCCGCAAAAACAAAACAAAACAAAACAAAAAAAAAAAAAAAAAAACAAACACAAAATTCCTGGGGAATTTCTCTCATTTCTGAGGGGTAACCAAGGAAATGTACACTGATGAACTAACACAGCAACTCACTGGGTTTAGAAAGGAGTAGAACTGGGTTGTAAATTTCAAGGAACTTTAGGAAATAGGTAAGTCATAGGTCTCCAATATTTTTTCTCCTGCTGGGAAGAAGCTGAACACAGCAGCCAGACCAAAACCAGGCACATCTGGAGAAGTTCAAAGCTGGTAGATCCAGACCCAGTAAGCTGAGACACTTTGCTGGACCCAGATCTATGAGAGTGTTCTCTCTTTCTTTTGATCTACAGAGGGGGCAACAGGTAACCAGGTAAATGGTAGACCCCCAGGTACATCAAGGGGAGGGGATTAGACAGAACTTAGGGAGCTAACTTTAGTACAAATTCCCAATTTATGCACAGACATAATGCTTGCTCTGTCTAAAATACAAACCCTTTAGTTATAAAAGTTTGTCAACTGCTAAATATCACTACCCATTATTAGTGTTCCTAATTATAGTTCTGTAAATACAAAACTAGGGGCCAGGGAGATAGCTCAGTAGAATAAGTGCCTGCCTGGCAAGCACAGGATCCTAAGTTCAATCCCCAGTACCACCAAAAAAAAAGCAAAACTAAAACTGGCTTAACCATATAATCTCTTGGGTAAGAATTTCGGTAGGTGCTAAGGTTATAACTGCACCAAAGCTCAACACCAAAGGTCAGAGGACAGCGCTATACAAAATGACAAAGAGAAGGAGCAAAATGCAATCTCAGGCCCTGGGCCCACCCAGAACAAATGCAGGAGACACTAGCACAGAAGAAATAGGGAATCACAAAACTGAAATCTTTGAATTAATAGCATCTGAAGTAAAGAAACAATTGCAGAAAGGTATAGAGGAAATCAGATCAGAAATAATCTCTGAAGTAAAAAGAAATGATAACTATAAGGAAAGAATAACTTCTTGTAAAGAAGACACTGATAAAAAATTAGAGGAGAATAGAAAAACAATAGAATTTTTGGATAAGTAATATAGGGAATAAATAAATCGCATGAAGCAGAGTCAAAGAGATATAGAGGAACTTAAAATTTCAATCACAAGCTTGCAAAACCATTTGAATGAAAGTGAAGATGACATTTCAGATCTTGAAGACGCCCTTGCTACTAGTGAAAAGTTAAGCTCTCAAAAGACAACTAGGGTACAGGAAAAATATAATTCAACATCTGCAAGATGATGCAAAGATGAACAACATGAGACTAATAGGTATCAATGAGAGTCAATACACATGATATAAAAAGAATATGGGCAGAAGTAATAGCAGAAAACGTCCCAAAGGGCCAGGGAGATGGCTCAGGAGAGTAAGCGCTTCCCTGGCAAGTGCAACGACCTGAGTTCAATCCCCGGTTCTGCCAAAAAAAAAAAAAAAAAAAAAAAAAGAAAACGTCCCAAATATGGGGAAACAATCTGACATTCAAGTAATCAGAGCATACAGAACTCCAAATAACATCAACCCAATTAAAAACATACCCAGACATATAATAATTCAGATCTCAGAAATCCAGTGTAAGAACAATTACTAAAAGCCACTAGAGGTTGTTTCCGGAAGTCGGCAGCCGCCTTGGTCGTTTGGCTGGTACTTGCCACTGTAGCGGTCTTACAGTTTTGCGGTTCACAGCGGGAGTAGAAAATGGCCCTATGTGCTACAACCGGGGCTGCGGCCAGCGCTTCGATGCCGAGAACAATGCCGACGATGCTTATACATATCATCCTGGTGTTCCAGTCTTTCATGATGCATTAAAGGGTTGGTCTTGCTGTAAAAGAAGAACAACCGATTTTTCTGATTTCTTAAGTATTGTAGGCTGCACAAAAGGCAGACATAATAGCGAGAAGCCTCCTGAGCCAGTGAAGCCGGAAGACTACTAAGAAGAAAGAGCTCTCGGAACTGAAGCCCAGGTTTCAGGAGCATGTCATTCAAGCACCAAAGCCAGTAGAGGCAATCAAAAGACCAAGCCCAGATGAACCAATGACGAGTTTGGAATTAAGAGTATCTGCCTCTCTAAAACAAGCACTTGGTAAACTTAAACTGTCATCAGGGAATGAAGAAGATAAGAAAGAAGAAGACAGTGATGAAATTAAGATTGGGACCTCAGGTAAAAATGGAGGATGTTCAAAGACATATCAGGGTCTACAGAGTCTAGAAGAAGTCTGTGTATATCATTCTGGAGTACCTATATTCCATGAAGGGATGAAATACTGGAGTTGTTGCAGAAGAAAAACCTCTGACTTTAACACGTTCTTAGCCCAAGAAGGCTGTACCACAGGGAAGCACATGTGGACTAAGAAGGATGCTGGGAAAAAAGTTGTTCCCTGTAGACATAACTGGCATCAGACTGGGGGTGAAGTCACCATTTCTGTGTATGCTAAAAATTCACTTCCGGATCTTAGTTGAGTAGAAGCATATAGCACTTCATTAAATGTGCACATTGTATCTGAAGGAGAGAAAGAATTTCATCAAAATGTGAAATTATGGGGTGTGATCGATGTAAAGCGAAGTCATGTAACTATGACTGCTACGAAGTTTGAGATCTCCATGAGAAAAGCCAAGCCTATGCAGTGGGCAAGCCTTGAACTGCCTGCAGCCACAAAACAGGAAAAACGAAAAGAAGATTCTACAGATTAAGTAGAAGAAGAAAAACACTGCTGCCTATTTCAGAAATCTCAATGATATGTGGTGAAGTTGTGGCTTGCTGCTGTAATCTTCTATTCTTGCTGTTTTATTTGTGAATCTGGCATTTCAGGGTCAGCATTAGATTTTTAAAAGCCAAAGTCAAGTCATCGTTTCGTCTTCTGTTTTCCCTGTGGGAGCTGTAAGATGGACTCTTCCTTCCTCGCTGTTAGAACCATATTTGTTCCCTGTACTTGAAGAAGCTGGAAACTGACTCATAATTGCAGGACCTTTCAGTACAGTGCAGTGGTAGGCACAAAAATAATGGAGGACTTTTTAAAGAGCTTCTGTCCCATAATTAGTCAAATTTTAATAAAATAGTTCATGGATTTTTTTTTTTTTCCCCTACACAACTTGAAAGTTTTAAAGGAGGATTTGTATTGTCTTCCCTGTTTGGACAGTTTTTCTAGGAGAATTAATTTTTGAGAAGCCAGTAGGTAAAAGGGAATATGTGTTGACTAACAGATTAGAACTTTTTTACCATTTAATTTAAAAATTTAATTGATACCTGTACTACTTGCTGTGCATATGACTTAAAATATATGAAGCAAAATTATACAAGTATCCATTTGGCTAAACTTTACCATTTTATAGGACCAAGCAATAAATGTTAAAAGTCGGTTTATAATTAAAAAAAAATAAAATAAAAGCCACTAGAGAAAAGAAACAGATCACATTTAAAAGAAAATTCATCAGAATAACAGCAGACTTCTCTTCACAAACCATGAAGTCAAAGAAGAGCATGGAGCAGAGTACTTCAAGTACTCTATGAAATTCCAGCCCAGACTACTATACCCTGCAAAACTCTAGTTTGATGAAGAAGTAAAATACATCCATGACAAAGAACAACTAAAGAATTTGATGATGAAAAGCCAACACTACACAGACTACTAACAGATATCCTAGAGAGGAACCAAAATGACCAGTCAACTCCACAAATGAGAACAGAAAGAACCCACCAAATAGGGCAGATAATTAAACAGGAGAAAAAGGGATAAACAACAAGCAGGTAAGTAACATGTCAATTCAATTATTTCTTTTCTCCTGCTGAATATAACTCTTGTTTCTAGAAAAACCTACATATTCACATTCAATCCTCCTGGCATTTATCTTCCTACTACTACCAGTACTTACTTGTAGAAGCAGCTTTTGTCTGTCCTTTGTCCTGTCCTGGCAGAATGCTGGAGTGCGGGGAGTACAAAGGCCACCTGTACGGCACCAGTGTGGATGCCGTGCACACAGTTCTTGACGAGGGCAAGATCTGCGTCCTGGACTTAGAGCCTCAGGTGCGTCTGTGGTGAAATATTTTCCATCTGTCTCCAAAGTCCTGAATGTGCTATACATGTTATAGGTCAGGGCTGAAGCATTTTATCTGTAAGCCTTTTAAGAATAAGATGACATCAGCCTGGGGCGACAACTCAGCCATCTAAGCACCTGCTCGGAAAGCGCAAGGACCCGGTTCAATCACCAGTATAGCATGCCGGGCCGGGCCCTGCACAATGCCAGCCACCGAAACTGGGCATGAGCATGTTAGCACACACCTGAAATCCCTGTGCTAGGGAGGCTGAGACACGATTACTATGAGTGTGAGCTGCGTAGTGGGACCCTGTACCAAATATATAAATTAAAAAAAAAAAAAAAAGACGGCCTCTCTTTATGAGTCAGGCCGACTCTTGGAGCATCAATTGCTGACACTGTGTTTTCAATTGGGGTAAAAGCCTTGACTTTCGGACACGAAAATGAAGAGTGGGTGGCCATAAAGAAAACATAGGATCTTTTTTGAGTTGACCTTGATTAAAAAGGCATCCAGGTAGCTTCTTGGGGACTAGGAAGTGGGATCACACAGGAGGTAACCTTCCTATTTGTCACATCTGTGCTGAAGCTTCCCTGTAGCCTCCCTCATGTGGGAACCAGCAAGGGTGAGCAAGTCAGTACCAGGGATGGAACTCAGGACTCACGCTTACCAAGCAGGCGCTTATGCTGCTGAGCTATATTCTGGGCCCTCCTATTTTCTCTTTTTTTCTTAATGTATTTGGTACAGGGTCTTACTATGTAGCTTGGACTATGTAGTGGCCCTCCTGTTTTCGGCCTCCCCAGTGCTGGGATTACAGGCCTGCACCTCCATGCCTCTCTGGACTTGGATGGCTGGCTTAGCGCTCCAGGGGGCAGGATCAGCATGGCACATTCTCCTCTTATTTTCTTTCATCACTTAGAAATATACTGTGTGTGCTATAGGAAGAGAGGCTTTTCCTTCATTGCGTCCAAACCAGTGGTCAGTGCAAAGCTGCAGGAGGCTCCATATGAAGGGTCAGCAAAAGGCAATGGAAGAGAGAAGCTCACATCCTGAGCTTCTGTGTTTGTCATGAGATCCTCCATCAGTAAGGAAGAACTTAACCAGCAAGTAAGATTTCCATAGCTAGTTTTAACTAGAAAGAAGAGCAAAGATTGACATTAATTTTGATTCTAGAAATACATTTATTAGAAAACTTTTGTTTTAGAGTTGAATAGTTGGGAGTGCATGACACTATACTTTTGCTAAAAATAACTGCTAATTTCAAGGCACTAGAAATTTTGAGAATATTCATAACTGACTAAAGGAATTTAGGACTTGTTTTTAAATATGCACTTAATTTTTCTACTTAGGATATTCAAGTGGCTCGAACCAGTGAACTGAAGCCCTATGTCATATTTATAAAGCCATCTAACTTGAGTTGTATGAAACAGTCCCGGAAAAATGCCAAGATTATTACTGACTACTTTGTGGACATGAAGTTCCAGGTAGATCAAGTCCAAGTCACCACACTGTTTTCAGTGACAGCGATGCTAGGGAGCCCAGGGAGGCTGGCACAGAACCTGGGGTCTGTCCTCACCCCTTCTCTCTCCCTCGAGGGTCCTCCATAAAATCTTTCTAAAAAATAGTCTTGGGCTGGAGAGATAGCTCAGTGGTCTAAACGCCTGCCTCGCAAGCACAAGGACCCAGATTAGATCCCAGCACTGCATGTTGTGCAGGCTCTGGAGTCTCTGGAGTGGTGGCCCACACCTGTAATCCCAGCACTGGGGACCTGAGACAGAGTATCATTAGGAGTCAGAGATGTATAGCAAGACCCTGTAACAAATAAATGAATAAACAAATAAAAGATAAAAGTCTTATTCCCACAGGATCTCTACATTAAAGCATGCATTTTTATTTATAGTGAATAATGTCTTTATGATTTATCCTTTTTAAAATAATTAATTTGATGTAGGGTTTTGCTATGCAGTTCAGACTCATAGTGATCCTCTTGTCTCAGCCTCCCCAGCACTGGGATTACACTCATGGCCGCCATGCCATTTCCCAGTTTGGGGGCCATTACAGTGCACTCAGGGTTCCAGGGATCAAACTCTGGTCCTTGCACTTGGATTGCTGTGCTATCTCCCTAGCCCCTATGATTTACCTCTTTTTTTTTGGCAGTACTGGGGATTGAACTCAGGCGCTTGTGTTGCCAGGGAAGCACTTATTCTATTGAGCCATCTCCCTGGACCCTTGATTTACCTTTTTAACTATTAATTTAAAAATAAAGTTTAATAAATACTATGATGCTTTTTTCCTCCTTATTTTTGAGGGCAGAAGTCTTTAAAAAAAATTTTTAAGCCACAATCTGCAAAACTAAACAGAGTGTGCACAAGCACATCCACATTTAAAAATATACTATGTGTACTTCTGTATTTGAGCAGATTATTTAACTGTAACTTTATTGGGGGAACATTTTTGGAGTTGTTTTATTTTGTTTGAGACAGAGCTTTGCTATATAGTTTAGGCCAGCCTTGAACTCACTATGTAGTCCAGGCTGACCGCAAACTTGCAGAGATCCTTCTGCCTCAGCCACTCAAGTGCTAGGGTTACAGGTGGGAGAACATTATATTTTAAAATGCTCTGATGAGAAGGGGCCGGGAAGTTAGCTCAGTAGAATAAGTGCTTGCCTGGCAAGCACAAGGGCCTGAGTTCAATCCCTGGTTCCGCCAAAATAAATAAATAAATAAAAATAATTAAAAAAATAAAATGCTCTGATGAATACAACTGTAGCATGAGTCATCTTACAATAATATTTATTAACACTATGGCAATAATTGAGGAGCCAAACTAGGTTAATTAGTGAGCTTGTTCTAGGTGATTTTTTTTGGTAATTATTCCCCCCATTAAATCCACTTTCAACATTTTGAGCCATGCCACGTGCTTCACTGAAGGTGCATAAATCTTAGGTGTATCACCCAATGGGCTTTTATATGGGCACACATCCAGGTCATCTTCACCCAGACCAAGCTATTATACTTACTTACTTGTGGATGTGTACTGAAAAAGGGGTGTTAAACATGTAATATAAAAGCTACTTTCACAACCATTTTAAGTGTACAGTTTAGAAGTATTGAATATATCCTGAATTCAACTTGCCGAACTAAAATTAAAAATAAGATTGCTTCACAAATACATATCGTCCTTGTGTAGGGATGACTGCCATTGTTAATCTCTATATTGTTGCACTTTCAGTATAGCATATATGCTGCCAAAGCAAGCATATGTCTTGTATTTCCTTTTCTAATTTTTAGCTTCATGTTTTTCAATGACTATAAAAGTCTGATTCTTGACCTTCTGTTTGGAACAGTGGCATCCATGGATGTATTCTGAGTCCTCAGGGCATTTAAAACTGTGTTCTCATTTTTGTGGCAGTCTAAACAAATCAACAAAACTGTTTCCAGATCATGTATACAGTTATCTTGTAAAGGAGTAATGCCACAGGATTTCAGTACCTGCATTTGTATTTGCACTTAAAACTATATTGAAAACAAGTTATGATGTTTCAATTGTCATGAACAAAAAGAAAATAACATCACTGAAATTAACACGGTTAGTGAGAATGAAGCTCTTAATGGACATTTCACAACACAGGTTTGAGGCCAGCCTGGACTACATAGTGAGTTCAAGGCCAGCCTGAATATAATGAGACCCTGTATCAAAAAGCAAGCAAGCAAACAAGCAAAAAGAGAAAAACCAATAGGTAAATAAAATTACCATAAATCACAGGGTAATTTAGGTATAATTCAATAGAACCAGGCCATACATGCCTCATGTGAACACTGGCCATTTGGCATTGCAAAATGATGTCATTTGTATCAGATTAATGTTCATTTAAGTCTTATGTAAGCTAATAATTTATTTTTAAGGGGTATGTAGTTTGAAGGCCTCAAGTGTGTAGACAATGGGGTGAAATAACTATGTGAAAAGTGAAGGGATAATCTGTCTACAAATTACATTTTATAGTTTAGAATAGAGGACACGGGGGGGGGGGAGCAAATAGCCCAGTGGATTAAAGCGCCTGCAAGCAGGCACAGGGGGCCAGGGGTCATGCCGGCCCTGGCCCTGGGGTGTGGTGAGACAGGGTGATTGGCACGCCTGTAATCCCAGCACTTGGGAGGCTGTAAACAGAAGAATCACTATGAGTAGTGAGACGCTGAACACCCTGTAGACCTTTCCCTAAAATATCCCCCCCAAAAAGACATGTATTTAACCTTATTGTTCTCATAGCTCTACTGTGACAGTGCGACTAATTGTGTATTATTTCTATTTGTCTCATTAAGTCTGTGCTATTCACTTTCCATTTTTCCCAAAGGATGAAGACCTGCAAGAGATGGAGGAATCAGCCCAAAAGATGGAGGCTGAGTTTGGCCAGTTTTTTGACCATGTGATTGTGAACGACAATTTGCAAGATGCATGTGCCCAACTATTGTCTACCATAGAGAGGGCTCAGGAGGAACCTCAGTGGGTGCCAGTAACGTGGATTTCCTGATATGGAGGCTTAGTCAGGCCTCTTGCTTTAAGCTGGAAGTCTAGCATTGTTCCTTTGCCAGCAATAACAGCAGTAGTCGACCCTAATAATAATGTGTGTAACTTGTAAAGTGGTGGTTTATTCAATCACCCCTATGTGAAGAAACTGTATGGTCATGTTTATAGAAGGTATCTTATGTACTGCATGGTTACATAAGCAAAAAAAATTCCTGTACATTATATGAAACAGTGGTAGGAACAGGCATAATGCCCAAGAACCTTTCATTGATTGCATATGATGGTCTTTGTACGATTCTGAAAAAAAGGCCTCTCCTAAATAAAATAAGCAGTATTTAATTTTAAAAACTGCATTTTAGGGCTGGTGAGATGGCTCAGTGGTCTAAAGCACCAACTTAGAACAAACTAAGCTAAGCAAAGCTCAGGGACCGCGGTTCAGTCCCCCAGCACCACATGCCAGCCAGCCTCGCCCCCTGGTGGGCTGAGCTGGCCACACACAAAAATATAAATAAATAAATAAATAAATAAATATTTAAAAAAAAAACTGCATTTTACTTTATGAAGCTTGTTTTATGTAATTTCTTTTTACAAGAAAGTACCTACTTGACCAACTCAACAAGAAAGGTTAATATACACATTTCACATCTAGCACCAAAGCCTCCAGAACCGCAGTCATCACTTACAAATCAGGCTACATGGAAAACATCCTTCTGATCGGCGGCACAGCCACCGTTAACGTCCTGAAAGCCAGCACCCACGGCACGCCTAGAGCAGGGAAGGCCTGAGGCCCACGGACGGCAACCCCGCCAGGGGCGCTCTCCTCCGCCGTTCCCTCTCCCGGGAGCTGAGGACTTGCTCGCTCTCCAGCCGCGTCCACCCCTCCTCGCACCCTCTAACTTCTGCATCCACAACGCACCTCCATCCTGCCCATCTCTTTCTTAGCTATAAAGCCGAGTACGTGATCCAAAAATACGTTTTCACCTAAACTGAACAAACTAAGAAAAAAGTGAGCTACTTTTCGTGACACCTCCGTGAGCTCAGGACCGATTTCACGTCGCGTCTGCGATTTCCGAAGCTGCGGCAGGGAGGGCGAGCAGCTGGGAAACGTACAAACTGCTTCTGGCTCCGACGCCCGGCCGCAAGGGCTCGCGCCAAGGCCGCCCGCGCAGTCCGGGCGGCGGCCGCGTCTCCGCTGCGGAACCGCCGGACCGCGCGCGGTCCGTTGCCACGGCGACGCGTCCCCTCGCGGCCTGGCGCCTTCCGGGCTCCGCACGCCGGGTTTGAGCCACGCGCGCAGCCCGGCGCTCTCAGCTGCCCAGAAGAGCGCCTGCGGAAACTTGCTTATCAAGGTCTCCCCCAACGTCCGGCCCTGCCAAGCGGCTCACAGTGACCACCTAGAAACCATGGGGGAAGCCGTGTGTGCAGCTGCGCACCCGTCCAAGTCCCTGTGCGCCCGCTCTCAGCCCGAAGACTCCCTCCCACAGGCTCCTCTCCGCGCCCGGACGACCCCACCCGCTTCCCAGCAGGCCGACGGCGCTGAGGTGCTGTGCGGCGCAGCGTGATGACTAGTCCGACCGGCGCGCCGCGGCCCGGGGTGGGCTTCGCGGCGCGGTCAGATGACGCGCGGCAGGAACGCGCTCGGCGGGGCAGGGGGTGCGGCCGCTGGCAGCATGGGGAAGACACAGGTGGTGAGCGAGCACTAGGGGTTTTGAGCGATTAGGACTTTTGCTTTCGGCTTCGGCGACCTGTTTTTGAAGGGCTTGTAGGCTGGCTTTCTGAATGGGCGACGCGTGCCTGTTGTGGGACTTTTGAAACGCTGCTAGGTGGAGCGGATCGCTGGGTAGGCGGCGCGGCGCGGTGTCCTGGAACAGTAGCGAGCGCCTGACACCCTCCTCCCGTGCTCATTTTGACTGCTAAGTAATCCTGACGCCTGTCGTGCCGTAATCTTGTAGGTTTGTGTTGATCTGAGTAAGGGCCTTGATACATGGGACAGACTATCAGCCCGTTTAAATCATTGTCATCTGAAAGCAGCGTGAGATGCTTGGAATATTAAATTGGCTTCTAGACATGGCTGATAGTTCATTTTGAAAAATTGCAGAGTTATGCTTAGAGTCTAGTCTCTAGACTTCAAACATGACTTTTCTTATTCAGGTAAAGCAGCATGTACTTAAATCCATTTGAGCTTTTTTTAAAAAAAAATACCACATGGAATAATACCCACGCTTTATTATTTAACTTACCCCGGAAATCCAGA